TACATGTTACTTACTACTCCCGATCGCAACCGAAGAGGCAGCGGGGTCATGGTTTATCGGTTGATAATTTGACGCAGCTTTCAGATACCAGGATATACAAACCTGGCGTTGGACTGTGACTGACCGGCGACGGCTAATAGATCAAAATGACCACCTCGGCCTTTGTTTTTTCCGACGCTTATATTCTTACTTGTAGCTGTACGACTGAATGTGGAGGGGGCGGCTCTAGACTGAGGAGCCCAAGGCAATACGAGAAAAACGTTTTTCGCGCTAGAACCTTATCGGTAAACAGCTATGCTGCCGCGCGATGTCAGTATATACTTTGGGATACTCAGAAGTTGAGAATAAGTAAGTTTAAGCAAAATAGCTGGATAGGTGCTCACCAGAAAAAGCTTATTTTGAACAATATAGCTTACGACTGTTGCTGAGTTCTAATATTAACAGTGCTAAGAATACTTATCTTCGCGATTATAACTTGAAAGATATTGCTTGTACTTCTTTTACTTTGATTAAGTCTCATATATCTTCACCTAATGTTAGTCTAACAGTGGAGCGACGCAGTGACTAAACACTTTTTTGTTTTAAGAGACCTAACAACTTCATTCTTTCGAAAAGCCTCAAAAACATAAGCACTGTTTGTATGGTGTAAGCTGTGTTTGTCGGGCAACATCTTCAAAGCACAAAACAAAACTCCATATTGATCGAACCTAACAAATATTTACGTGGGTAAGCACGCACATTTGTTGCCTAGCACTATCGACGTTTCAATAAAATATAACTTAGAAAAACGCTCAGAGGATTGCTGTTGAGATTAAACCATTTCTGCAAATACGTGGCATGAGACTTTTCTTTCGACGAGACTCTCCAATCCCGCAGGTTCACAGCGACCATGCAAGTTTCCAAAATTGAAAGTTGCAGTAATTTTGGTTTCCATCGACGTATAAGGAGCCTATGCAGCAGTTGTTACCTCTTCTTCTCACTGCAACTTGCATTCCCCTCGAGTTTATATTTGAAACTAGACGTAGTTTCGACAGCAGGGTGCTGAGACTCATCAGCCCAGCACAGTCTGACGAGGCCGGCTAAATCAAAATGAGCACAGACTGTTCGCCCGCTACTTGGTGATATTCGGCCGGAGTCGGTGAAAGTATGATATGTTCCTAAAAGACGTCGGTTACTCTTTTGATCTGGTGATTGAGCGGAATAGAATTGGCGAAGACCTAAATTTTTCTGCTACCCAAAATATTCAGAATCCCTGCTATGGGCACTTATATGAAAGACGCCTGCAGAGGCCATCCAGATAGTATATATTCATTGCTTTCCTAAACGGTCATCACGTTCTTTATGGGCCCGAACCTCGCCATGGAAGCAATGGTTCAGAAGTTGCGGAAACCATTTATTAAGCGAATTATAAACTACAAAACAAAAAACATGTCTTGTATGCACTTATGTACGACCGCCCTTTCATCCTGGGTGCTGCGCACTTCTAAAGTTCTAATTGTGAGAAAGCTCATAAAGGTGTCCCCTCTCATTATGCAAAATATATCTGTCAAATATCGCCACGATGACTTAATTTATGTTTATTGGGCTGCTGATCCTCAATGCTGATCCTCCCCAGCCCGGATGCCTCTTTGTCATTTAGGAGGTCGTATTCTTATAGGCATTCAAAGCTATACAACTTTTTATAAGTAACGCTAACAAACACTATTCCAAGTTACCTTCGTCAATCGCCTTTCCTCCTTGCAATCCTTCCGCGTATGGACTACTTGCATAACAAATAATTTTGCAGTATAGAGCAGCTATAAAGGTCACTTCCAACTTAAAACGTCGATCTTATGCGTAAATATTGTCGGAGTAGGACATGGTAAGTCGCGCGTGAAGTGGAAAATCTCAAAATTTCAAGGCAATGTAACTGTATCTCCTGAGCACAAACATGGACTACTCCACAATCATATGTTTACATTCCTTGGAAATAGTTTTGCGCTTTTACGATCGATCTGGCTCTTTCTACATCAGAATATGTCTTTTCCCGATCGGCGAGCTCTATGCCTGTTTGTCGAAGCATTAGTTAATGTTTACTGTGTTACAATCTTCGAGTAATGCATGATGAGTCCTCTTTCACCTACAGTCTACATACATTACAATTCTTATGGTCATGGCAGAGCGTTTATCCTCCCTTCCATTGTCGGGGTTGACCAACAGCTGTAGATCTTAAGGTGAGCTAAGTTTACTAAGCCAAATTTGACACTACTAGTGCAGCGCAAAATTAATCTCCAACATGACACTTATAGTGGTGTACTTTCTAAGTTATTAGCAGTTCAAGTAGCTCATATTCTCCAAAACCATCATTATATACAGTTGCGGTGACCGTTCTCTCTCCGATCATCTTTTATGTACGAACATCAGACGAAAAACAGGATTGTTCTGCTTATTAAAATCAGGTTCATGACTAAGTACCAATGGGGATGTATAACAACTGTTTTTTTTCAGAGTGCCAATTGAACTAAAGGCAGAACTCTAGTGCCAAGTCAATAGCCGACTTACCTTCGCTTTGTAGGCCGCAGATACGAATGCCGTCCGTAACTAGCGCGCCCGAAGATGAGCTCGTTGGGTGGAAGTCGAAGACCACATCTGCGAGCATGTGTTCAGACCCCATGCTGCCTCTGTCATCCAGCGAGCAACCCCGTTGCAAAGAGATGTGGGAGTTAGATTCTCCAATCTCCTCCAACTTGTAATTTTCCAGCAGCGCAGAATTGGCGTCCGTGTCGGCTGATACTTGCTTCTGACCCCAATTAGTCTCAGCCTCACTCTTAATCTGTTTCCCGGAGTTTTCCAAAGGAGGGTTGAAGTCTTTACAGGGAGGATGATAATTGTTTGGAAAATAAACATCTGTATTTCGGTTTGAAACGCCCTGTTTATCGTTATCGCGCCAACTCAAGCTTTGGGTAGTCATTTCTCTTTGCGGCTCGTTTGGTTCTGTGATGACGGTCATAAGGTGCTGGACTCATAGTCGTAATATAAAGGCTCGTGGTCGCTGATACAGCGATTTCATTGGTCGCGCCAGGGGAAAGGGGAGGGAGGACGTCAGTTCACGCAGCCTCGCATCACGCCCACACAAAGTCGTAAAATTCGAATCTTATTGGCTTCGACGGCGGCCGCGACCGATAGGCCAATCAGAAGTCGAGGAAAACTGTCATGTGGGCAGACAGTTCAGAGGACGAGGCAGGCCGTTAACCAACGCGAAACCTGTCTCCGAAGCCTCCGCGTAATGTCACAACACCCCCTCACAAGATCCGTCTTCGCTCCTTCCCCCATCGTGACACCGAGAACCCACCAAAAGAGTATTTCAATAGGCTCGCTCCGAATAGCTGCTCGAAATGACGATATTGGACTGCGCTCATAATAATGGGAGTAGGCGCTGCGGAGTCCTCCACGCAGCAAAGACCCTGTCTTGGAAAAGCTCGACCTATAGGGTTTATCACTCCGGAGCATTCCTCCCACTGGGAGTCCCACAATTAGAAGAAAGAATGTACAGGCCATTTCGAACGATCTGCCACACATCTAGGAAGTGATTATTTAGTAAGTGAATCATAAATGAACATGCAAGATGCCACGAAGTATAGAGTTACACTTGCCTGTTCAAAGGGTCATCCAGATTTTAGAACTTAAACGTTTCACACACTGCCTCCGTGTACATCATAAAAAATTTCGATATATCGCATTCACATTCCTAAAATGCATAAAAGGTAGAATAATAAAGGGCGCTCATTCGCCTGCGTCGCATTCGTGGTAGCATTCACCGGAGCTTCGAAAAGTTAGTCTGCGTCCAACCCTGAGCCTCAACAGATAAACCAAATGCCGCCCCCACTAAATATAGAGATGAATAATATAAATATCGGTTTACAGATAAGTGAAGCCGAATATGGAGACCACCTCATGTTTTCTGCCATGATGTATTGCCAATACAAGCGAACATTAT